TCTGCCCTAATAATTTCTTCCAACAACCAGTTCACCAAACTGCTCAGAAAGTTAAAAAAACGGTTCTCCCGAAGTGGTGCGAACTGGCTGAATCCCACCACTGATCTGGGATGGGGGTGTTATCCATGAGGTCTTGTCCTTACCTGTTCCTCAAATGAAATTACACGAGGTTGGATCTTTTCTAAGGTGAAGTGGTAGATCTCTTTGGCTGTACTATCGGGAAGGTTTGGAAGATGCGTGCAAAAGTCAGTCAACAACTGGCGTGAAATTACTAAACTGACATTTTCGTTTACCACTAATACAAAAGAGACAAAGAGAAATAACGTCATGTTTGCATTGTCATTTTAAACAGTGCGCTGATCGTAATTCATTTTTCTTATTTAAGCCTGAACAATGAATAAGCCAACAGTTTCCAGGGCAAAGTTTTCAGCCTCTGAACCATCTAATGGTTGTATGAGACATAACATTTCTGCACCAGCATACCAGAGATCTATTCTGTAATTTAGCTTTGCTGATATGCTACCACAATGTCAAATTGCATAATCTAGAAGCAGGCAGAGAAGAATCTGCTGAATCTGTCACAACACAAGCGATTCAGAACAATAATGATGTTCAGGTGTTCAAACTCTAGTAATGTTTTTGTGCAGGCTGATTCCCTTACACCAGAGGTCTTCAAACTTGGAAACTTTAAGACTTGTGGACTTCAACTCCCAGAATTCTCCAGCCAGCTATGCCAGGTTTGGGGACCCCTGCCTTACACTATGAGAAATATTCAGAAATTTTATTGCAGTGTTTCTCATAGTATTTTTAAAATGTATTTTTAACAATCCAGTCCTAAGTAGTTTTCTTGAACAAGAACTTCCAATCTCATGTCTGCCGTACACAAAAATAACTACATTTCAGAGTTACAAAATGTGGCCCAATTACATAGATACTCTTATCGTAAAAACAAAGAATCTTTTTTTACCCAATGGAAAGTATTACATGCACAGGAACAAGGAAGCCAAATTACATAAAGAATTCAGATTGCTAAAACGTGTCTCTCTATAAACCAACAACAACAAAAAAGTGCCAGAGCAACTTAGAAAGTCAGTTTTTCACTCATCACAGGGTTGTGATCCCAAGCATTAAATCCAAGTGGGTTTTATTACAAATAAATCTACTCCACAAAGAACTTCAGTGTTTATTAAGAACAACTATGAAAACTTCAGTTTAGTTATAAATACAAAGCTAGAGATTTTAGTTAAGTTCTCCACTTTGTTTATAGTAAAGCTGTTCCCATTAAATGGTCAGTTCTTCTATAATGCTTCTTTTGTAATATTCCAAAGGCTAATGCAAAAATGCTCATCAAGGAATAAATCCTCTCGATTTTGTTAAAATTTCCAAGTGTGCGTAATTTAATTAATTATTAATGAAATCAAAACTCTGTAAACATCTGGTTCAATATATAATTTGGTACCACTCAAAATCCTTTTCCTGATTGCAGTTCAGTATGTACAACAACGTCATGCAACACCAACTGCAGTTTAATAAACTCACTTGCTTCTACAAAAGCTTTTAATGCTTCTAGTTGTTCCACTCCTGACAGCTGAATTGCTTTCTCCAGTATCTGTCGATACCTGCCAGAAAGTTGTAAAAATAGATGGCAATTAACTCTACATCCCAAATAGGAACTTTGTATTTCATTTCTTCCCATTTTTAGATAATACAAGTAAATGCTTTTTCTTAACCTATAAAAGTTATCCTGTTCTCCTTTACTTCAGTTTCTTATTTCTTGGAATGTTATTTATGACGGGCAGCAGATCTAAAATTGGTTATGTTTTTCAGAATAGAGAGGTATTCAGGAATATCTTTTTGTTTTTGAGCAAGACTGTTGGATATAATCTTTCTTATACTTGTCATACTTCCGCACTTTCCACCAAAGTAGAGATGCCCTCAACTGCTAACACATTCACGTCTCTTTTTTGCTGAAATATAGAAATGATTTGCTACTGCAAGCTTCCTATATAAGATTACACTAATGGGATTTCATGCTAGTCTCGTTGTTCAGTCACTAGGTTGTGTCGAAGTCTTTGCGGCCCCATGGACCACAGAATACCAGACACTCCTAGTCCTCCATCGTCTCCCAGGGTTTGCCTAATTCATGTTCATTACATTGATGGCCCTATCTAACCATCTCATCCTCTCCTGTCCTTTTCTCCTTTTGCCTTCAATCTTTTCCAACATCAGGATCTTTTCCTCTTCTCATTGGGTGGCCAAAGTATTTGAGCTTCAGCTTCAGGATCTTTCCTTCCAAAGAACAGTATGGATTGCCATCTTCAAATAAAGTCAAGTCTTATCTGAGCCAAGCTCAACTCTGGTGACTTAATATCCATGGTGTTTTCTTAGCCACAATAATGAAATAATTGCCATTACTTTATTCCAGGATTTAAAAACAAGACATTTTCCAGTCTAGCCTACATACAAGATACTTTATGGTCTCCTATCTAAGTTCTGATTATGCTTAGGTTTTGGGGATTAACTAGAATACACCTTTCACTCAGATCTCCCATTGTGCCCTTGAACTGCAGCTTGGTTCTACCAATTGTCAGATGAACACATTTTTAAAAAAACACTAAAATATTTCTACTTCACAGTCTCCTATGAAATCACTTTAAAGCAGATTTTCACCTGTTTACTTTGAATAGACAGAGATTAAGAGAGAGAACCAGTTTGGTGTAGTAAATGTGCTGGTGTAAAAAACAATCAGAAGCTTGTGAATTGAAGGCCTGTCTTAGGCTTTAGGAAAGCAGCTGGAGCTTTGGGCCAATTCCTCTCACTCAGCCTAACCCACCTCACAAGGTTGATTTGAGGAAAATAGGAGACAGCAGTATTAGGTACGTTGGCAGCCTTGAATTGACTCTCTCCCTCAAAATCTAATCATATCACAGGTCCTGGTTCTTTTTATTGTTATTGTTGTTAGTTGTGAAGTCGTGTCTAACCCATTGCAACCCCATGGACAACGTTCCTTCGGCCTTCCAGTCCTCTACCATCCTCTGGAGTCCATTTAAGCTCACACTGCTTCGGTGACTCCATCCAGCCACCTCATTCTGTGTCGTCCCCTTTTTCTTTTGCCCTCCATCTTTCCCAGCATTAGGCTCTTCTCCAGTGAGTCCTTCCTTCTCATTAGGTGGCCAAAGTACTTGAGTTTCCTTTTCAGGATCTGATCTTCTAAAGAGCAGTAAGGGTTGATCTCCTCTAGGACTGACCGCTTTGATCGCCTTGCAGTCCAAGGGACTCGCAGGAGTCTTCTCCAGCACCACAGTTCAAAGGCCTCCATTCTTTGGTGCTCAGTCTTCCTTATGGTCCAACTTTCACAGCCATACATTGCAACTGGGAAAACCAGAGCCTTGATCTTTTTATTAATTGGCTCCTATTTTATATCGATACTCCAGTTGATTGCAGTGCATTATTGCTTGCATTGTTTTATTCTGTGTTTGTACTGCACTAAATTATAAGCATACTATAAGAATTGGTCTGCTGCGGTGGTTAAGGTGCTGAGCTAGAAACAGTGGATTTCAGTGCCCCTTAAAGCATGGGAAGACGACGTTTTCTGAACCCAGCCTACCTCACAGGGTTGTTGTTAAGGGACTATTATGTAAACCTCCCTAAGTTTCAAAAATTAAAGGCGAGACATAAATCCAATCATAAACACCTAAATAATCACTCCCTACCATTCCGTTAAATTTAATTCTCTGCCGGGTGTACATTACCCTACAACCCGGAAAAAAAGGGCTGAGGAAGACTGACTGACCTGAACACCAGGGTCTCCAGCTCCGAACCCCCCAAAATAGTCACTCCCTCTCCTCTAGGCCCATCCGTGGGTTTCCCCTCAGCTCATAACTCCAACTCCGGCCTTCCCAGACCCTCAGGATGGAGACCCGCTCCGGCTTCTTTATCTCTTCCCACCCCTGCCCGATCCTCTATCAATAACTAGGAGGGGGGGGAGGGCTGAAAACGGCCGTGAAGGCCGCCTCACTCACTTCCCCGCCAGGTCCTTGTGGGAGCCGCTGGAGCTCATGAGCTGGGTCAGCTCCTGCCTCACTGAAGCCGCCATCTTGCTCGCCCGTCCCTCACGGGGTGTGGGAAAAACAAGCACGAGCTGGGACGCCGCTGCGTAACCACAGAGCGGGCCCGCCTAGAGCGGATCAGACGCTGGTGTTTGAGTGTATGAGGGTCGGCCTCTGTCTCTGTTTTGTTTTCTTTTATAATCCCTCTGCGTAACCACAAAACGGATCCGCCTACAGCGGATCGGGCGCTGGTCTTTGCGTGTGTGCGCGTCAGCCTCAGTCTCTGTTTTTTTTTTTTTAAATAACCCTGCGTAACCACAGAGCGGACCCGCCTAGAGCGTGTGTGCTCGTAGGCAATACCCCAGCGGCTTCGCGTGTACAAAGTGGGCGGGCCGAACTCCGGAAGTCGGGCGAGCTTTTGAGGGAGGGAAAGGCGGGAGAATGGAGCGGAGACGGGGGACGAGGAGGCGCGACGTCGGTTGTCAGGGCGCCGTCAGCCGGCTTATTATGGGATGCGGCGGCGTCGGAATGGCGCGAGGCGCGTGATTTTGAACCGACGCGGAGCCCTTGACGCCGGGCTCGGCTGGCTTGAGGTGGCGGCCCGGCGGCCGCGAGCGAAGGAGCGAGCCAGTCCCGGCCAGGCGGGAAACAGACGGGAGAGCAAACGGAGGAAGGAGACGCCAGGCCCCGGCAGGTGAGATGCCGGCGTCGCGGTGTGAGGGGCAGAGGCGGGGGGGAGCGAGCGGTGGGCTTAACGGCGAGCAGCGAACGCCTTGACAGGACCGAGCTGTGGCCGCCTCCTCCTCCTCCTCCTCCGTCTCCCTCCTCGGGGCGGGGACTGCCAGGCGGACCCGGGTTGGGGAAGCGCCGTGGGGAACCGCAGCCGGTGCTTGAGCCCCGTTGGTGGCCGCCGTCCGGACGTCAGGCAGTCCCGGCGCCTCCGCCTCAGGTGGGGCGAAAAGGCGGCCTTCGGTCGACGGAGAAAAGGAGAGGGGGCGGGAGGGTTTTTGGCCCTTTGGACGACGATCGCGGATGGACGGGTTAAACTTGACCGTCGGGGTTGATTTGGAGGGAGGGTGGATGGGAGGGAGGGCGGCCTTCTTGCCACTTGCTGAGAAAGGGAAGGAACCTAACAGGATGTTTACCTGCCTCCTTATAGAGATTGTCAGTAATGTTAATCTCAATCAATAGAAATAAAAACTTAGTTAAATGTGTTCTGTATCTAAACATTTCTAAGAAAGATATAGATGAACATGAGATAAAGATGAGTTCACACACAGTATAAATGTATAATTTAAAATAATAATTAAAAACATTACAACAAAAAGAATGAGTTAAATTTGTTCATGTATAAGAGAAATGTTTAGATAGAACAATGAAAGATATAGAGGAAGGTAGAGATAAAGAGTAGTTAGGTATATATATATATTCTGATGTGTATGTATATGTATGTATGTATGTATGTATGTATGTATGTATGTATACCTAACTACTCTTTATCTCTACCTTCCTCTATATCTTTCATTGTTCTATCTAAACATTTCTCTTATACATGAACAAATTTAACTCATTCTTTTTGTTGTAATGTTTTTAATTATTATTTTAAATTATACATTTATACTGTGTGTGAACTCATCTTTATCTCATGTTCAT